CACACAGACACTAACAGTGTAGTTGCTCACAGATTGAAAACATGCTGATGAGACAACACCTTATGCACATTCTCACTGGCACGTGTATTGTTGCACAGGAACAAGCGCAGGAAGTGCCTCAACCAGATAAAAATCATTGATGCACTTTGAGAAGAAATGCTGCACTTGGCCTCGATAAATTAATCATGAGGCTTTTAATTATGGGTGTTTCCCTTTATACTGGAGTAAGTGTGCATGTGTGCATATCAGATGCAATCAGAAGGGACATTTGTTGATGGCAGAGTGTGTTTGCGTGCTCGGGCTGTGCTTGAATCGGTGGTGAGTTGAATTGCGGAGCGGCTTACTCGTTAAAAATGAAAGCTGAATCAGAGTTATTGGTCGGAACGTGTCATCAAATATTGTTGTCAGTAAGGAATGCTTGTGTAGCACCTCCCGTCTCCTTATGTTTGCCATAAATATGTGTGCAGTGCATGTGCATAAAAGCTACGTACGCACTACATGGGCGCTGACGCCTACATGTAGTTATGAGAATATTTGGCCAGCTAACCTCTCCGCTGTTGGTCAGTGAATGGACTGCTAGCAACAAACAGAAGGGAGTTTTCAAACTTGACCAGACCTGAGAGACAAACTAACTTAGCGCTAGCTAGGTTGAGGCTAGTAGCAAGGTCGATGGATTTACAATTGGACCAAAGAGAGAAAAACATCCTTTGTTCTGCCATTGGCCAGGGTACAGCACGGGATCCTCAAGGTGAAAGTAATATGACACAAATAAATATTAAAAGGTAACAGTTTATTGTTATATGAATCTTAGCCAGTGTTCTCATTTTCAGATGATCCCTTCTACAAAATTCCAAGAAAATCACAATGAGCTATTTTTAGAACGGGCCTGTGGGCTACTCATATGGTCCTTTAGAGCACCGCGTTGGTGACCCCCGCTCTGTCCAATCCTGTTTGATTACATAATAGGTAGAGGTCACTGCCATTTGGCGTCACTGTATAGGTCTGTATGTATTTCGCTGTATTTACTGTATGAGGGTGCATCTGTGTGTGTGTGTGTGTGTGTGTGTGTGTGTGTGTGTGAGATCTTGGGATGTCAATAGTTGTAGATGGAATGAATTGGAGCATGTTTCAAACAACAATAGCCTGCAACCTGGACAAAATGAGACGTCTGCTATTACCCATCAACACACTGAGAGATAAGAAACCCCCTTGAACACACACACACACACACACACACACACACACACACACACACACACACACACACACACACACACGTGTACATGCACACAAACACACGCATACGCTGGCACGTACTCTCCCGTCTCGAGAGGAGGCGCACGGCAGCAGATGTTGAGGAAATATCTTCCTTCTCATCTGTGCGCTCCTCCTGGCAGGATGTGCATCCAAAATATACACGCACACACATAGTGGAGTTCTGCGGAGCAGTCTGACAGGTGCGCTCACATGGGCCACCTCACTTATGAAGACTCGCAAGCACACACACGCAGCGTACACACTCTGGCGCAGGTGTGACTGGACAGGTGTGTGGGGTGAAGACAGCTGTGAGGAAAGTGTGAGTGGGCATGTGTTCCATTAACAGGGAAGGGGGAGAGAGAGAGCAGTGAAATGTTGCATTGGACCAATCAGGACAAAATATTATGTAGGTGGGAATGTGGATTGACTGGCAACCAGTCCAGGGTGTACCCAAAGTTAGCTGTGATAAGCTCCAACTCATATAGAAAATGGATGCATTTTAACTCCTCAGTGATGTAATGGCATGGTGTCCCAATACTTTTGTCAACATTGCGAATAGGCAATTACAAACTGAGTGGGTTGTCATTGAAGAAAAGAAGAAATCTGAAGGCACGGCTGCAATGAAAGACCTTGTTTGAGGGGTGCAGCAGCGATGGGCAACATTGATCCAGGCAGGTTGTGTCAGGGGGAGATAAGGCTTACCTGTCCCCAGAGGACAACCCTGGGCACGGGGGAGGGAGGGAGGACAAGCAAGCAGATGAGGAGGAGGTGGAGGAATTCTATGGACAACTGGATAGATGCAGCGAGGAAGGCAGACAGGACGGAGAAACCATTTTTGATCTTGTCCACGAAAACAAGATGTTTACCTTTTACTTTCAATTTGGAATCATTTGCCAGGGAGAAAATGTTTGTTGTTTTTCACAAAAGTTCTCTGTACAATACTGTAATTCTATTTCATTAATATAGCCCTGACAGTGGTTGACTGGTGAGCACATCGGCCTCACAGTGCAGAGAGGTACAGGGTTTGATTACGGCTCCGGCCTTCCTGTGTGGAGTTTGCATGTTCTCCCCGTGCCTGCGTGGGCTTTCTCTAGGTACTCTGGTTTCCTCCCACATTCCAAAAACATGAATGGTTATTTAACGGAACACTCTAAATTGTCCCTGGGTGTGAGTCTGAGCGCGGATGGTTGTTCGGCTATGTGCGCCCTGCGATTGGCTGGCAACCAGTTCAGGGGTCCCCCGCCTACTGCCCAAAGACAGCTGGGATAGGCTCCAGCACGCCCCGCGACCCTTCTGAGGATAAGCAGTTCAGAATATGGATGGATGGATGGATGGGTGGATGGATAGCTCTGACAAACAACTCGTTTTATCCAAAGGCATCTTCACATGAACTACACCCTGGACTGGAGGTTTATCAATCGTAGGGCACATATTGGCAAACACCCATTCACATATTCACAGCTATGGGCAATTTTGTTTCTTCAAAAACTTGACATGTATAAATATTTTTTTAGAGCACCTGAAGAAAACCCATGCAGAACTGAGCGGCAGAAAATACTAGTCATGATTACACTGTCCTGCCTCATACTCATACTGACATAAAAATCAGCACTATTGCTAATTTGGACTTGTGTATGTCACTCAATATTGATGTAGTATTGTACAATACAGTACATACAGTATGTTTCATTTCTGGCTAGGCCTCTGGTCCCACTTATGACCAATAATAGTTTTGCTCATCTTCAAATGATCTAATGTTGGACTTATTATGCTCTTTGCCAGGTTTCTCCACGCTGTCTCTAGCAGACCAGATGAGTCTACTGCAGAGCGCATGGATGGAGATCTTGATCCTGCGTGTCGTATACCGCTCGCTGTCTTTCGAAGACAAGGTTTGTATCGTTCTCTGTGTTCTGGCTCTGCTTAAACACTGACGGAAAGGTTCCTGGTTATTGTCAACCTGCCGTTTTGTGGCACTAGCTGGTGTACGCCGAGGACTACATCATGGACGAGGACCAGTCAAAGCTGGCTGGACTCCTGGACTTGAACAACGCCATCCTGCAGCTGGTCAAGAAGTACAAAACCATGAAGCTGGATAAGGAGGAATTTGTCACTCTGAAGGCCATCGCGCTGGCTAACTCAGGTTGGATAAAAACTATGCATGTGTGTTTTTGTGAAGTGCAGAAAGAGTTAATCCCAGGAATCTCCATTCCTGAGGGACTCATTTAAACGGAGCCAAAAGAACTCCTTTCAATTCTCTTGATCCAAACAGGCATGACTCACACTTCCACACAAATGGAGGTGTAAAATCATTTACACCCCCCCCCCCCCACACACACACACACACGTGATGGCCATCCCTTTTATAATTAGCATAGTCGTCTCTTTAGATGCCTGTTAAATAAGGTGAAATCATTGGGGCTCAAAGTCTGTCGATAAAGGCCCCTCTCTGATGTGTCCGGCTGCATCGACAGCTGACTGACACACACGAATAGTCTCACACACACACACACACACACAAACACACACACACACACACACACACACACACACACACACACACACACACACACACACACACAGGCATGCACCTCGCCCCTCCCCTCCAATGACCCATCTTTTGAACTTTGTCTTGGATGGCGGCCAGCTCTTCAGTACCCTTTAATTACAAGGGGGAACTGTCAATACAATGTGTTTAAATGGGAGATGCAATGGAGGGAGCTTTGAATGGCGAGGGAGGGGCCTTTTGTTCTAATCCTGACACCATCAATGCACTGACATCCCAAATCTGCCACTCACATGCACACTTTTGAACATCCCAATTAAATTGTTGTGAAATACAGATTTGATGCTGGTCTAATGTTCCTGAAATTTAAAATTAGAATCATTGCAAATGTGCATGCATATTTATAGAGTTCATACTATCATGCAGAAATATTGACCTTGTTTCCGGGTTGGTTTATGTGGCACTCGCTGTGTTGGCTGCGCCTACTGTGTGTGTGTGTGTGTGTGTGTGTGTGTGTGTGTGTGTGTGTGTGTGTGTGTGTGTGTGTGTAGAGACATCTCATTGGTTTGTGGATTAGTGGCGTGCAAAGGGGCGGGGGGTTGAAGGGCTGGTGGCCCCGGGCCTCCACACAGTTCCAATAGACAGATATAATACCCCAGACACATGTCAAGCATCCTGGCCCCACCCCCTCCTCAATGAAAAATTCCTTGGGGCATCCATATTAAAGAAGGGGGCATCCAGCCGTCCAGCCTAACGGACAGTTTTTTTATGCATTGACAGTTAGTTTCATGTTCTTCCCTCTGACCCCTCCCCCCAAAAACATAATTTTTCCACTTTGTAAATAGACAGCTTACTGAACTGTCTGTTGTCAGCATCCTCTTTGTGCTTTTTATGAATCTATTAAATTCCCCCCAGGTGGCAAAGGCACGTGCACAGTAAGGCGCAGCAAATGTCTATTGAGTTGAAGGATAAAAAAGTTTAAGATCTGTACACTTTATTCAATTATGTCACTAGTGTAGAATTTCATGAAGTACAATATTATAACGTGCTAATTTTCTTAGTAAAAACCACACTACAAACATTTGTGGCGTATTTTTCTCCAAGCCTGGAATGGACTGATGGCATTTCTTTTGAGCATGGTGACATGAATTAAAACCTGTGCACCACTTGCACGTGTACACATGGATGTGACAAAACTGCACACAAATTCACTTGAGAATTGTTGTCCTACAGGGAAAAAAAATAATAATAAAAAAGTTAAATAAAAATTTACCATAACAGGCTGCTGCATGTGATCAGTTAATACCCAAGTCCCTTCCTGTAAACACAGTTCTCTGTATCTGAAAACAATTGTGATGATTATGAGTCCCCTTGAGGTGCCCTCACTGCTGCTCCGCTAATCCAAAAACCTGTGTAGCGCACCTGAAAGGTGCTCTTATCCATGCACTTCCCTTTCATGCGTGGCATAAAATGACAAAAGACAAGTCTTGGTACTGCCCATCATTTATTTCACTATATTAGACACTACAAATGAATACAGCAGTATCAGAATAACTTCAACATGTTAATGTCATAATGATTTATTTTATTTAAGATGCCAATCACTCTTAAGAAAAATATCTGTGAATCACACGAACTTTACATCGGAGGCACATCTTTCCAAGTGCTCGTCAAGACAACAGAGCGCTAGCATTAGCATTTTGAAGGGCACGGACACTAATTAATTCACGGGATGCTAATCGTCTGCATTAATGAAGCCAAGCCTTAAGAAATGTTAGCAAACGTGCCCCACATGTAAAGACACTTCAACTAGCCATGGGAAACAGGAGGCATGTGTGTGCACGTGTGTGTATGTGCGCGCATTTTGTTCCGTGTTGTGATTTAACATCTACCGCTCATTAAGTTGTGCCGTTTAGCTTGTGAGTGTATAGCAGCAGCCATGACTAGAAGGCAAAACACTAAACCCACAACATTAATTACACCTGCATTGAGTTAATCTAGCTGCGTTTATTTGTGTTTTGGATATTTAGCAATTCACATTTTCAGTGAAAGAGAAAGAAAACAACGTGTTATAAATTTAGTGTATTGTCATGCGAATAAAGCTACTCATGATCTAGTAAATTAAAAGCTAAGATTGGACTGCCCCCATCCTTTATAAACTGAAAATGTTTGACGGGATGCAAGCTGAATTTTCTATTGATCCTTATAGGACAAATCCGAGTGGTCTGCTCTTGCATACTGATACATGCATTACACTCTATAGATCCAGCCTTGTGTATATATGACATCTGTGACTGCCTCAGTATTTATTGTAATCCATCGAAAACCGTATTGTACTCTAAAGGCTGAGGCAAACAACACACAAATGTATGCTCAACCTCAAGAACAAACATCGTGGTCCTCGCTGACAGTATCAATCAAAACTGATTATTGGTCAATATTTTGGAATATAAGGATCTCGGATATTGGGCAGGCAAGTCCAATAGATTGGGGTATTTTTTTCAGTCACACGAACTACCAACATTCCCATTGTGTGTGTGTGTGTGTGTGTGTGTGTGTGTGTGTTCTTGTGCGAGCACAAATATACACCTTATTTAACATGCATGTAGCCATTGATCAGATCCATTGATCAGAGGTTGGAAGCTAAAGGCCAGCTCACATTAAGACTTGGCCTCCCCAAAGGGCCACGATGGAGCATTATCATTGAGGGACATTCGCAGCCTGCACACTGCCACATATGCTCAAGCACAACATGCCACCTACAAGAGGGATTACGTGTGTGTCTGAGTGCACACACACACACACACACACACACACACACACACACACACACACACACACACACACACACACTTTAGGTGTTCCCAAATCTCTCCATCATCCTACATCTTTTTTGGACTCCGCCCACCTGTCTGTGCGTCTGTTCATTCATCACGCCCACTGCTCCACACTTTTAAAGACACACACTCGTACAAGCTCTGAATCTAAAAAGCCACTATGAGGGTTTTTTTTTTCGTATTAAGGTGCCAGATCACACGTGTCTCGAAAACAAATGCATGTTCAAAGTGCACTGGCTTTCACTGTATGTAGTATACCCACTGATGTTTTCAATTCAAATGCAATTACCAAAATACATGCTTCTTGGGGTAACTCGACATTGTTAGAGATGTAGTGAGTGTGTGAGAGTGTGAATGATTGTGTGTGCCAGGCATTTGGCTGGTGTGTACCCCACCTCTAGCCCAAAGTCAGTTGGGATAGGCTACAACATCCCAAAATCCTGTATAGAAAATAGATGCATACTGTGTATGTGTGTGTGTGTGTGTGTGTCTCTCTCTCTCTCTCTCTCTCTCTCTCTAATAAATATATCTTTCGATCATATTGAGTCTACCAGCTGCTCTGAAAACAGTCACATTTATACACAGTTCCAACATGTCAGATAATATGAAAAATCATTTTGTTTGCCTCGTCAGACTCCATGCATATCGAAGACGTGGATGCGGTGCAGAAGCTCCAGGACGTGCTCCACGAGGCCCTGCAGGACTACGAGGCTTCCCAGCACCAGGAGGACCCCCGGCGGACGGGCAAGCTGCTCATGACCCTGCCACTGCTCCGTCAGACCTCCACCAAGGCCGTGCAGCATTTCTACAGCATCAAGCAGGACGGCAAAGTGCCCATGCACAAACTCTTCCTGGAGCTGCTCGAGGCCAAAGTGTGAGGGCGCAAAATTCCAAGCAACTCCCCATGTTTTACACACACACACACACACACACACACACACACACACACACACACAC